AAGAGGTGAAAGCCAGAACCTCAAGTTGTACTGATGAAAAATGTGTGTACTTCTCTGGGAGGCCAAATATTGCTATGTGAGGGGAGATATCAATGGTTCTGAGAAGTACCTTTGACATGACATCAAAATACGACTGCCAAACATTCCCTAAAGCTGGACAGGAGTAGAACATGTGCGTGAGATTGCAGGGTGAGCCAGAACACCGATCACAGATATCAGGCGTGTTATGAAAAATTTGAGCCAGTCTAGTTTTAGAGTAATGGCATCTAAAAGAAACTTTAAATTGTATCAGAGTCAAGCGAGCACAGATGGAGGATTTGTGAATAACCTGTAGTGCAGCTTCCCACCATTGGTCTTCAAACTTCAAACCTAATTCACCCTCCCAAACTGCTTTTGTTTTGGTCGTTATATGACAGTCATGGGATTTTATAATGCCATAGACCAGTGGTTCCCAAACTTATTTAGCCGCGCACCCCCTTCTATGTCCCGACCATGTCGACGCACCCCCCCAGCCCCCACATCAGGGCATGGCTATATATATATATATATATATAGAAGGATTTAATTGTAGGAGTCCTTCCCATGTTTGCTTAGGCGGGAGTTGAGGAAAACTAGGAAATAACGGTTTTACACAATTCCTCACCTGGAAATACCTGAAAAGATGGGAGGGTGGAAGGTTGAACTTTCCAATCAAGTCAGTGAATGAGCAAAACTTGTTTTCATTTTCACCAGCTACCTCTATATAAACAGTAAATTCCCTCCACCAGACTTACTGGTTTCACTCCTGGGGCGCTGGAAAAAGCGCCCCTGAACTGCATTTAAACAGCCAATCACATTTGGTCGCTAAGGAGAACTGGAGAATTTTGGGCCACGTTGTATGGTGTGGCTGAATCTGCGATCTGCTGCCATGCGGACAGGAATAACAAATGCTGCAGTAACATGAGTTGTGGTCAGGTTCGGAGTCACTGGGTGGAGCGGACCCGACTTTAACACGTCATCCCAAAATAGAAGCTAATATCTTAATTTGACCTTGAACGCAAAATGTTATAAAACCTCTTAAAAGTTTTTATCATGGAGGAGGCAGCGCTCATTTCTGTCTTCAGTCTGACGGCGCGCCAGAGTTTGCACAGCGTGCGCGCTTATTGAATGTGTGTGTGTGTGCGCGCGCGTGGCACCGCTCCATGAGCCGCTCCAGTCACCGCGTCTCGTTATTGGCGCTATTTAAACCAATGTTGTAAAATTCTGCCCAGCCCAGATGTGCTCACTTGTGCACCCGTGAGCCGTGGTTCCGCTGGAACGCGTCTGACCTCTGACAGACGCACTCTGAACTTCAGATCTTCAGCACGCTGTTAATAGCCTGAATGGGAATCATTTCTTGATTTATTTAGTTACATCCACAATGTTCTGTGTGTGAGGTTTACAATGTCAGAACACCTGCATGAGACAGGGTGTTGATTACAATCTGCCAGAATGACTCACCACCTTCAGATTCCTCCAACACCGATAAAAATGATCAAATGCGAAACATCGGCGTGCGCAGGCCAGAGTGCTGAAGCTCGGCACATTATTATTATGAAGCTATGAAGGGCACATGTGGAGGACACACACTCAAAAATATACTTGTTTTCAATTACATTTATTGGGCCCACTTACGTTTTCTTAGGCCCACCCACAAATGAGTTTCTGGCTACGCAAATGTGACATATGACAGACTTCTCTGAGCTCCGCAGCCATTACACTTTTCACCTCGCGCACCCCCTTGCGGCAGCTCGCGCACCCCCGGGGGTGCGCGCACCACACTTTGGGAATCCCTGCCATAGACTTTTGAAATTAAAGATCTTTGAGAGGGATTTAATTGTAGGAGTCCTTCCCATGTTTGCTTAGGCGGGAGTTGAGGAAAACTAGGAAATAACGGTTTTACACAATTCCTCACCTGGAAATACCTGAAAAGATGGGAGGGTGGAAGGTTGAACTTTCCCATCAAGTCAGTGAATGAGCAAAACTTGTTTTCATTTTCACCAGCTACCTCTATATAAACAGTAAATTCCCTCCACCAGACTTACTGGTTTCACTCCTGGGGCGCTGGAAAAAGCGCCCCTGAACTGCATTTAAACAGCCAATCACATTTGGTCGCTAAGGAGAACTGGAGAATTTTGGGCCAATCAGCATACATAAATTTAATGTCTTGGGGCACTACAGCACCCCTGATACAGAAAACAACTAGCTAGCATGCTAAAAGGTATTGGATCTCATTGTCACTTCCTTATTTAAACACACTCACTGTTATTTTAATATAAGTCTCCTCCCTTTCTGGTCAGCTCATGGATCCCCAGAAGAACAATAAAGGAATGCAAGTAAATGGGCCTAAAAGAGCTATTTTCTAATCCGCTTTGCCTTACGCCCTTAATAAGATATGTTATATTTTTATTTAAATGAAAAGTAATGATGTGTGTTTCCACCACGCCAGTCACATACTTCTAGATTTATCAGCTTGTAAAAGTTCATAATTAGCATGACTACAAATCAGATGTCACCACATAATCTCTCCTCTAGCGTAGCTGTTACCACATGACAAGGTCTTTCCTCCTGAGGGAAAGATTTGAATTTCGCTGAAATTATAGCTATTTGTCCTCGGCTTTTCTCTGTGTCTGGTTCAATGACGTCAATTTGGTGATGCACATTTGTACTGCTAGACTTATTTTCTTTCAAAATCTAAATTACCATTTTCCTCCTGTTCGAAATTTAGCGCTTTTTGGCATCAAAATGCATATTTAAAATTCACGGACATCATATGTGAAATCCATGGCACATAATAAACGTGATTAGAAAATAGCGTTTTTAGCCCTATTGACTTGCATTCATTTTTTGTTCTTCCGGGGACCCATGGTGCGGAAGTGGATGGGTGTGACTAAGACTCCCCATAGAACTGAAATCATAGCTATTGCTGCAAATCACGTTTATTTGTTCTCATTTTATTGGATTATATTTTTAAAACAATAATTCAGTTTTTATGTAATGTTACTGCCACCTACTGTCCAAACTAAGTATTGCAGTCTGTGCAGCTTTGAGCAGATGATTGAGACACAGGATTTTTGATTGCAGTTGCTCCCAAAGGCTCACACATGCTTGTGTATTTATTTTACTGTTACAGTTATAGTCTCTGTAAATTTGAAATTTGACTTTCTGTAACACAGCTTATTTGGAGGAGGGAAATTCATGTTTGTTTTGGAACTGCAGTCATTTTTCAACTGTTCGTTTTAACTTATTATGGACTGATAAGACAAATATTTCACACATAAACATTTTTCACCAGCCGCCACTGTTAAAAGATCCTTTATTAAGAGTTAAACAAGTTTGATTTTAGCAGGAATAACTGGATCAGATTTCCATCAAACAGATTTAGCACTGAAATATCAAAAAGAAAAAAATTGGTGTTTTGCTTTTGTTTAATCATAGAAAACCTTAAAAACAAAGACTGATTATCTCTGTAGTTGGTGATGATATATTCTATCAACACCTGGAGGCAGTGCCTATGCAACGGCAGGTGATAAATCACTGCGTTAGAATGACATCAAGAAATCAAACACCTGCTCTGAAAATGAGCACATTAGAAGATTCTGTGACTGATTAGCTCCTTGTCCTCTTTTATTCTTTGTTTGAACCCTTTATATGAAGGTTTAATTCACTAATTTTCCAATAAATCTGCTGTGGTCTCATACCTTGTGAAGTTTTTTACGTGGATAAAAAGCTCTCGTGTTCCTGTTCCAGGGGGTAGAAGTTAGTTGGTGGGGATGGAGGCAGAACACTACATTGTGAGTGTTACTCATTAACATTCATGATATACAACATATCACCTAGGGACGCACCGATTTGAATTTTTTGGGCTGATACCGATATTAACTGCCAACAGTTTCCTGATCAGAAAAGTCCTTCGCTGCCAGTGCTTTTTCAGCATTTTCACAGTTTTTTAGGAGTCATAGGAAATGGCACGCAAGGACGATGTCAACGCCAAAACTACCAAAACAAAGAGATTCACCTCTTACATCAGGAAAAATCTGGGCCTTTCAAATGTTATCCATTCTTTCATAATCGCGCCTCACTTTTTTTTACAGCGGCGGTCCAAAACGATCTCCTAACACATGGATTTTCTGCTTCCTGATCACGTGACATGTGACGTACACGGATGAAGATCGGCTTTAGAGTTGGGATGTTTGTTCTCACGGTGCGGGGGCTCATTCCGAAGCCCACACAGTAAAAAAACGCAAATGACGACTTTAGTCATCATTGGCAGTGAACGGTTGGATTTAAAATGACAACTTTTGTCGTCAATGGCAGTTAATGAGTTAATATCACTGTTATGGCCGATAACCGATATTTGCCAATACTTATTTCTGCTTCTGAAATCAGCAAATTTGAATAGTCTGAAATTATGCAAGTTGAATTTTGGAATGTTTTGCTTTATTTCTATAAAGCAGAAGTTGCAAGATGTTGTACACACACACACACACACACACACACACACACACACACACACACACACACACACACACACACACACATTTACGCTTCTGAGATGATTACCACCACTGTCTCATGACTAAACAATTACACATCCTCACCCCCCCCCCCCCCCCCCCCCCCCCTTACCCTCTGAAACATATACACAAACGGGAACAAGATGGAAAAAAATATTGGTTGTTAATATCAGCCCAGTTTTACTTATCGGACCGATATGTTACAAAATGACTAACATTGGCCAATATCGATATTGATGTCAATATATCGCGCATCCCTAGTATTGGCTAACAGCAACACAACTCTTCCCCTGCCTTCATTCCCTCTTCACTTTTAACCCAAATTTTCTTTTACATAATAAGTCAAGCTATTACTACTTATCTATTCATAATTTTACAAAAGGTGGGACCATTATTAAACAAAATTAGAATTACAACAAGTATTTGCTTCACTAATGGTTCTGAGCGGAGACAACTCACATTTACATGCTTTTACTGGTTCTGGGGGAGGAGCTTGCCCAAAGAGCGTCTTTCGACAGATGAAGAGGGGGAATCGGCGTCAGACAGATTGATTAACAGGTTATTAACGTATGGTAAGTGCATACATTTGATTCCCTTATCATAGTTGTTCTACTCGCGGGGTAAAATATTGTTTTCCTCGTGCTTTTAATGCGTGCAGCGAATTTAGTCCTGCTGCTGCCGCTAACGGCTAATACTTAGCGGTAGCAATTTGTAATGTTAGCTCTCTTGTTACCTTCAAAATAATTTCCTACATGTGTTAATATTTTCGTAACTTTGATAGTGAACTTGTTAACCAAGAGCTGCTTGTTCTGGAGCGTTGTAATGATCCTTTGGTCGTTAATTTTGCTTGGTAAGTTAGCTAGCTGTGTTAGCTAGTACAAATATAACACATAAAAAGCTATGAAAACATGGCAAAAATATGACCAAAATGACTAACCTACGATGAGAAAAAAAGGAATAAGCGTAAATGAGTTTTGTAGGTCTTCAGTTTCAAATTTGGCGTTACATTGTGGTCTAGAGGCTGTAAACTCTTTAGGTAAATGAACTGGTTTGGTGCCGCAGCAGCGGACGTCCCATTGAGTCAGTTTACGCTGCATTACGATCTGCAGTCAAAAAGGAGGAAAACCCCCTTTTCGTACATAAGTGACGAAAAAGGGCACTTTTAGCCTCAGGGGTTTGATGCTGAGGGTGGTTGACCAAGCTTTTGTTTTTGACGCGCTGGGACTGAAGATGTGTTGGTAAACTCCAACCTGGAACCTTTTAGATTAGGGTTAAACTGGAGAAAATATGCTCGGTTTAGGTGGAGATTCAGAGGTTAAATTCTTCTTAGTTCTTTGTTTTTGTAAGGCCAGATGCTAAAGACATTATAACCTGCGCGGAGTAATTTTTCTGTAATTTTTTTTGCAAATTGTATCATACTGTACTAAAATAGTGCTTCTTTTGTTTTCTTTGCCTTAGGTTGGAATTAAACACTAAACCATATTTTCTGTTTTACATGTGGCTATTTCATCATGCTGTGGAGCTGTAAATATTGTGAGTTCAACTGTCGCTTTGGACAAAAGCGTCTGCTAAATACATAAACATAAACTGTGATAAGAGGGGTCACTTGCTCAGACACTACAGACTGAAAAATGGCAGCTATACTAGAACAGTTCCTTTTCCATGTTTGTACAGAGCCTGTCTCTGTTCATTTAATTCAACCAATTCACTAAACACTCATCTGTCAAGAATCCACAAGGAATGTACTTCCCAACCCCAAGAGGGCATACGATTTTCATGTCGGCTGTGTGATTTTGTAGCAACCTGCACAGATGATGAGTTTTTCAAACACCTTTGAAGTACACATCACAAAATTATTTGTCCATTAATTGGATGTGATTTTGAAAGTAAAGTGTATTCAACATTCAATGCCCACAAAAGCAGAGACCATGAAGACCATAACTGGAAGATGTTGAAAGCTGAGATTGTTTCCAGTAATAAAAAGGATGAAGACAAAGCTGACAGTATATTGAATGATGCAACTGTTGAGGATTTTGAGGATGATGGGGATCTCAGTGATGATCATAATGATCTGGAGAAACAGCTTGGAGAATTTGGCCCTGCTCCTTTTAAAAATGGAAACTATCCTACATATTCCCCAGCAATCAATACAAGAAGTCATTGAACAACTGGTACAGATAAATGCATTGTCAGAACCACTGTTACACAAGTCTGTAAATGACATCTTAAAACGGCACATGGTAGACAACAGTGTTGTGCTAGGCCAGTTGGTGACTGCCGTTGCAAACACTAATGCCATAGAAACATTTTGTGGGAAAGGTGGTTTTCTATCAACAAAAAAAAAAAAGAGGAGAGAAATGTATCTGAATAGAACTTTTCCTGTTGTGCAGCCAGTGGAGTTCATCGTTGACAGATTTAAAAAAGACAGTGCTGTATATGTGCCTCTAAATGCAATGCTTCAAGCAATGTTGAGCAAGACTGATATTATCAGAATCAGAATCAACTTTATTGCCAGCGCTCCAGTGACTCAGAGCATAGGAACTTGACTCTGCGAACACAACCTGACCAAGGTTAAACACACACACATGTAGACAAAAACAGGTACAGGCAGTCACGAGAGCAGCCATAACGGCGCTCATTTCATTAGATGAAAAGGGTGTTACGTGAGGATAATTGGGGTAAGGTAAAAAAAAGGCATAGCAGAGTTAGACCCAGCGGGGAGTAACTCTATTATACAAAAAAACTCCTCAACATAGAAGCACGAACATCACAGATACAAAACATCAGAGTCCGATGGGGAGGCGGGGTTGGGCGGGATCCTGAATCCTCCAACGGGAGCTGCCATTACGGCGCTTCACCAGCTGCAGTCGACAGGTGGGAGGGAGAAATGAGGAACAGACAGCGCATTGAGTTCCTGCAGGTCGATGACCTCGAAGCCGAAGTCACAATCTGAAGGCGGGGGGGGGGGGGGGGGGGGGGACACAGCATCTGTCAGCATTCCTCCTTTCGTGGGGGTGAGTTGAAGGCAGCCTTGGAGGCTGCTTGGCGTCAGATAAGGATAAGCAAGACTTTGTTTAGGGCAGACAGAGATAATTTTCCTCTCTGCCTTGGAGTCTATTAAGTGGTCATTCAGGTCCACCAGTGAAGCCAATTATACGTTCTAAACATCCCCACACCGTCCGACGACCCTCTCCGAGATGACATCCATCTTGCGCACTAACACAGGCAACGCCGCAAGGACATTGTCCAGCTTACGGTTCACCTCGAGTAACGTCCCAGTCTGTGAGGTCACCGCCCGGGCGGCACATTCCGTGGGTGCGGGTCACACTCCAATCGCTCCCGTCTTCCCTAATTTCCAGAAAACCAGATATCCTCCCACTCCAATCAGAAGAAATCCAGTGATCATCAGGCCAAATATCCACAAATCTTCCACGTCCTCGATGGACAACTGAGAGAGGCACACGATTCGCCAGACCTCCCAAGAATCGAGTGCATATCCCGCTGCGAATGTCCCCTCGGGACAGGTGGGAGCCCCCTTCTCCGTTCTCATTGTAGAAAAAAACTTATCAATCGTGTTGAATGACCAGTTAATTAAGTCCATATTTCCAAAAAAGAGTAGTGATTTCAGGAGAAATGCAGAGAAGTGCTCTGTAGGCAGACAGGACAAGAGCCTTGGGGAAGCAGATAAGGGAGCTGAAGAAAAAGCGTCTGTGCAGTCACTACCTCATGAGTACTTAACCTTGACCAACGCTTTGTTTATGTGCAGTGATGACTGCAATGGTCCCATATAAAATAATTTAAGTATGTATAAACAACCAAGTAATTTAAAGTTTTCTGATTTCAGTCAAATAGGGACAGAATAGACCAAGTGGCCTCAAATAGTCCTTACGCCAATATTGATTTTAAAATGTTTAATGTTAGAACGTTTAAGTTGGTTAACCAAATGGTAGCACAAATTGCTACAGCTAATGACTGTCTGTTGTAGTTCAGTAATTTTATTCATTAATATTTATATTTATGGCTATCTTTTTTTTTATCTTTAGGATGGTGAGTCCTTTGGTCAAATGGATGTTGGAATTGTGTTGGTGAATCCCGAAGGTGTCTCTCCCCAACATCAGATCTTCACCCAGCAAGCCTGAAAATAGTCATTGAGGGTGAAGTTGTTGTGGAAAAGGTGACAACCCTGCCAGAAGCTGTGTCTCCTTTTCAGGCTCACATATGGATTCCACCTAAACTACCCTAAGAAAACCTCCCTTCTGTTCATTCAACATGTATTTTTTGCTTTGGGAAGCACTGAGCTGAAAAATCAACTACCTGTGTAAAAGATTTTTCCAGATGCTCTATTTTTGTTTAGATGGAAAAAGGTTTGGTTTTTAGCTCATGGTTTGTACTGTTGAAGGTCAGCAAAGGCCACATTTAAATACAAAATTAATAACAATGGCCTGGAGGCCAGTGAAATTTACAGGCTGACAAAACTTTAAACTGTTACACAAACATTCCAGTTCATTACTACGTTTAACAACTACTGTGTGCTACCGTCCTAGTATTTTTATTTTTTGAAGGATTTCAAGTTTAAACAATCTGTACAAGGTAGCGATGCTCATCGTTATTGTGCAATTAATCAGTTTACCTGTCAAAGCACTAAGCTTGTGTTATAACCAGATTAATGATGTAAATATGAAATAACTGAGCTAGCATTTATCAAGTTGTTATGCAAGCTTGTTCTTTGCACAATGTTTTAAAATTTCCAAAGATAATTTTTGTAAACCCATTTTAAAGGGTTAAATGCAGAATTGTTTAGACAAAGCACGTTACCGGCTTTATAACAAATGTTTAACATGGTGTTTAACATGTTGCTGTAACACAATTTTTTTTTCAATAAAGTTTTGGAAAATAATTACTTATTGTCAATTATTGTGTAATTTTGGAAAAATAGAAAAGATTGATTACAATATATATTTAATAATTCTAACTAGTATACACCAAAATAAATACTAATAAACATGAGCAATAGTTACATATAAACGAGAAATGATTACATATATAAATGAGTAATGGTTAGGGCAATTACTAGTGCTAAGCACTTAAACAACTTAAACAACTAGTGAACATTAGATTCAAAACCTTGAGTTTTTTAGTAATGGATTCTCTTGGACACAAGACTAGGTAAACGGAGATTGATTTTTTTGGTTTTTGATTTTGTAAAAACTAGACATCCCAGTGCAATCACTTACCATAAGCGGCTTTAGTAATGATTACTAATTTGGGTTTACAGAATTCTTTCTTGGTTAAAAAAATTAAATCTCTGAAAAATAACTTAAGTCTAAACGTGTTCCGCCATGTTGTGGAGTAGCTAATGCTAATGGCTAACTTCCACTAGCAGAGACACACACTACTCTCTCCTGGCTACTACCGTATTTTCCAGACTATAAGTTGCACTTTTTTCATAGTCTGGCCGGTCCTGCGACTTATATACCAAATTATGTATACTGCGCTGCTGCGGACCAGCTCTGGACCAGGAATAAGCTCCTCTGCCCCACCATCACCGGCTGGAGCCTGTGGCGAGCTGCTGCCGGTCAGGCGTCTCCTACCCAGGAATGAGCTCCCCTGTCCCGCTGGGAGGGTTTCAAACACTGCCATCACCTGCTGCAGCCTGAGGCGGGGTGCTGCGGGCCGGCTCCGGCCCAGGAATGAGCTCTCCCCGCCCGCTGGGAGGGTTTGAAACACCGTGTCACTTTGAGAGCAGGAGGTGGTTAGGACCCAAGATGCAGAACACCAGATGACACGAGGCAGGAGCGATTGTAAAAATAAAAATTCCTTTTATTAGGATGGGGGAACAAAAGTAGAATCGAAAAGGAGCAGGAAGCCAAGCCTAATATCGAAAACATTGACAAAACCAAAAGCTCACTTTCTGAGCAGAAACCTAGAGACCTAGTGGGGAACAACACAGTGCTGACACACGACAATGGACCGACAAACACTGAGAGACACAGACAGGGTTACATACACAGGGCTGGGTGATAGGAGACGAGGAGCAGGTGCGTGGGGAGGTGAAACTAATGAACTGAGGGAAGAAGCAGAAATAAGCAGGGGAGAAAACCATATCTATATCCTAAACCAAAGCTACTAAAATAACCCAAACTTTTAAACACTGTAGAAACAAAGACACAGGGGAATCTAATAATAAGTAAACGAATGATCCAAAGTGAGGAAGGGAACACACACACTAAAGAACTGAAATCCTAAACCTATAGAAAACTACAGTGGAGAGACTAGGAGAACGTGAGGGGAACCTGGAGGGGGCTGGGGACCACAGGGACGCAGAACACGACACACTGCCATGCTCTGCTGGAGACCATGGCGCGCTGCTGCGCCCTGGTTGTTTATTCTGTTATTGTTACCGGTACTTGTCTCGCAATGTGGAATGTTTGCTCTCAGATTTTGTAAGAAAAACAATAAAATTTCCCCCCAAAATGCGACTTATAGTCCAGTGCGACTTATATATTTTTTCTTCTTCATTATATGTTTTATGGCTGCTGTGAAGTTTACTCCGGAAAATACGGTAAATCAGTAAAGCCTTGTGGTGTCTTGAGCTTAGGTGGTGAATTCCTTGAACACTAAATTACCCAGTGATGAAGAAGAAACTGGCTCTATCCCACTAGATTGTTTTCCCATCTATTTCCTTTCTGTGGCTAATGCAGGCTATAGGGCTTGTATTTCTAGTAATTGATAATAAACAAGTGTAGCAACATGGTTTCATTCTCAGAAAACAAAACTTTCAAACCAGACAATAAAATTCCTTGTAACTTCATTCTTTCCCCAAACCAGAACACTGATTTTTTTGGTTTTCTTTGCAGAAAGACGTTAAAACTTTAAAAGACACGTTCTTTGCCAAACCAGACTCACGGTAAATTAGTGTAAGAAAGAGAAGAAGGAAATATTTAGTTTTGCACAGTTCAAGAAATCACTAAAATGTTAAAGATGATGCATTCCTTGAATGGATATAGCCACCACTTTCCATGCAAAAGGTTTAACTAGGACAAATACGTTGAAAAAGGATGCAGACGTGTTGGTTAATTTATTCCTTTGCATTTGTCTGTGAATGTGCTGTGGCTCTAACTTGCAAAAGAAAACAGGATCAAAACGTTGTCCACACGAGGATCACCTGTCAAAGTTACCATGTAAAAACATCATCCAAAGTCGTCGTCGTCGTCTTCCTCCGCTTATCTGGGTCCGGGTCGCGGGGGCAGCATCCCAACTAGGGAGCTCCAGACCATCCTCTCCCCGGCCACCTCCACCAGCTCCTCCGGCAGGACCCCAAGGCGTTCCCGGACCAGATTGGAGATGTAACCTCTCCAACGTGTCCTGGGTCGACCCGGGGGCCTCCTGCTGGCAGGACATGCCCGAAACACCTCCCCGGGAAGGCGTCCAGGAGGCATCCTGACCAGATGCCCAAACCACCTCAACTGGCTCCTTTCGATCCGGAGGAGCAGCGGTTCTACTCCAAGTCCCTCCCGAATGTCCGAGCTCCTCACCCTATCTCTAAGGCTGAGCCCGGCCACCCTACGGAGGAAACTCATTTTGGCCGCTTGTATCCGCAATCTCGTTCTTTCGGTCATTACCCAAAGCTCATGACCATAGGTGAGGATTGGGACGTAGATTGACCGGTAAATCAAGAGCCTGGCATTCTGGCTCAGCTCCCTCTTCACCACGACAGATCGGCTCAGCGTCCGCATCACTGCAGATGCTGAACCAATCCGCCTGTCGATCTCCCGATCCCTCCTACCCTCACTCGTGAACAAGACCCCGAGATACTTAAACTCCTCCACTTGAGGTAGGACCTCTCCCCTGACCCTTAGTTGGCAAGCCACCCTTTTCCGGTCGAGAACCATGGTCTCAGATTTGGAGGTGCTGATCCTCATCCCAGCCGCTTCACACTCAGCCGCGAACCTACCCAGCAAGAGCTGAAGGTCAGAGCTGGATGAAGCTAGGAGGACCACATCATCCGCAAAAAGCAGAGACGAGATTCTCCCGCCACCAAACTCGACACACTCCACACCACGGCTGCGCCTAGAAATTCGGTCCATAAAGGTAATGAACAGAACCGGTGACAAAGGGCAGCCCTGGCAGAGTCCAACCCTCACCAGGAACAGGTCCGACTTACTACCGGCTATGCGGACCAAACTCACACTCCTCTGGTAAAGGGACTGAATGGCCCTTAACAGAAAGCCACCCACCCCATACTCCTGGAGCGTCCCCCACAGGGTGCCCCTGGGGACACGGTGATAAGCTTTCTCCAAATCCACAAAACACATGTGGATTGGTTGGGCAAACTCCCATGCCCCCTCCATCACCCTTGCAAGGGTATAGAGCTGGTCCACAGTTCCACGGCCAGGACGAAAACCACATTGCTCCTCCTCATCATCCAAAGCAAAGATGCTTATTTATGTTCAGATGTTTTATCACTGCACTATGTTTCTGCATGTTGTTAAGCATGCATTTTAACCACCTGGGGTCTCATTTATCAGACATTTCATAGAATCCTTACTAAAACCGTACTTAAGCTCAGCAAAACAAATGTACTTACGCCAAGTAGGTTTGTGATCTATCAAACATGGAATACGCACAGCTGCACGCAATCTCCGCTTCATAAATCGGAAACTATCTACAAATGTTGTCAGCTGCATTTTAATCACATCCCGCCCTCACCACGCCCACTTACTGCCATAAATAGTCAATGTAAATTGTCTTTTGGATCTCATGCATATACATAAGCCGGCTGTTGCAGCACTCCGCCAATGACATGGCGACCGTAGATCAAGGCAGATCAAGGAAGCGCAGTTTCACAAGCAGAAGTTTAGGTGGAGAAATGAAAGGACGTGCTTTTGTAAAACAAATAAGAGAAAATCCACGGAGTGGCACAGCATTGCTGAAGCCATCAAGAAGAAGAAGAAAATATCATTTCTATAGCGCCTCTCAAGATAAAAATCACGAGGCGCTTAATACTGAGATCGGTGTCGGATATAAAAAACATGATCCAAACAGTTTTCGATCCCCTTACTCCCGGGTGATAATCACACGTGCTAACCAGTTAGCCAAACAGGAATCTCTCTTGTTCAAGTAGCCAGGGCACATCATCAGTCAGGTCACAGTGACAGGACACACTGTCACAGACGCTTGACATTCTGCCTCAATCTGTCCCCCTGCTGGTATTCTGCATTCCGTATTCTGCGCTTCAGGCTGTGTGTGCGTGTGTGCGCGCATTAGGGGTTGTATGAACTAGTCGACTAGTCGCTGTCACGTGATAATGACCGACAAGATGCAGTCCTCCAGCAGGTGACGAGCCCCTGCGCGTCGGGAGGCGGAGGCGATGCGCTGTGCCAGAGCGTCGGTACTGACACCCGCCGTAAAACGGACATTTAACCAAATTGTGACCTTTTCCCTCTTGCAATTTAACCTTCCCTTCGCCCCCATCCTAACCTTAACCAGCTTGCGCATGCAAAGCTCTGATTGTTGACGCGCTCCAGACATCTGTGTCCTCAGCACGGCCACAGTAACATTATCAAATCAGGTGTCACCACTCAAAAACTAATTTAACACGTGATCGTTCATGTCGGCTCATTTCCTTTTATGTTTTCTGTCTTTTATTTGTGCCTGATGCTTTTCGCTGCTGTGGAGCGGGGTGTATCACCTGTTTTGTCCTCCGGTGATGCACCTCACTGATGCGGCCGGCAAGCAGTGCGCACTCCGCTGTTTTTGCGGTCGGTAGATCTTTTAGAACTGCAGTTCAAAGGTAACTCATAAGGTGAATATATATGAACCCAGGTAGCAGTTTTTCTTTAGGATTGAGAGGAGATGCAGGAAGATAATAAACAGACAGGACAGAAAAATAGTCAA